AGAAATCTACAAAAAAAAAGAATGAAAATCCTCAACCGTCACCCAGACATTTTGTACATGTGGCAAATGCCATAACTGCTTGACTACAAAGTTGCGGTGATCCAAACAACAAGTGTTCTAATTAATGCAATATAAACAATAGATACATAATTTATTTGACCGAATATCTTGAGCACCTCTCTGCTCTTAGTATAATACCTCATTGTTGAGGATATGGTTTACCTGAGCATTAGTAGTTTTTGACTAAATTATTTTATAAAACATTTATAATACAGGAATAATCTTAATTGTTGTCTTTCAAATTAAGGATTTTATTTCCTGGATTATATTGTCTAACAATGACTTAAACAAAATGCTTTTTAGTATGCTTTATGCATGCCCCAAAATGCACATTTCTTGCCATGTAGTTTATTTTTTCACCTAATGTTTTTAATAAATTAATTTTTATTAACCTCTTGAAATTACTTTTTTTTTATTAGTGTTTAAACTAACCAATCATTTGTTGCTTTTGATGTCCTATTCATTTTATAATATTTTTTTTTTATTTAACTAAAAGTTCTGTGCCAATATTTTCAGTTACTGTCATAAATAATTAGTGTTGAATATTTGATGTATTGCACATTTTTTTAAAGAATTAGATCTAATATAAAACTTCTTCACAACCTCTCTATTCTGCTGATTTGTGACATATTTAATGTTTTACTTTTTCATCACCAGACATGTTTTTCTCTCACTTCTTTGTGTTGATTATCACTTTTAAATACCCTCTTGTTTCTGTTTGTTTATTCTGTTTCTCTCATTTATAGAATGTCATTTCAAATATTCTAATTATGAAGTTGTGTTCAATCATATGTCTATATATAGGTCATGTTTAATCACCTTTTTTTCCATTGCCATATGCTTGTTTTTTGTTACCACATTTAAGTTGGTGGTTGCATGAGGAGATGGTAATCAGTTGATGTTATACATTTGATTCAAATTTTCATCATGTATTTTAAAGCTAGATTTGAGCATAAGTACATAAGTTTAAAGGTTATGTTAACATTGTTATTTTAACTTACAACAAAATAAATGTTTAAAAATGTTAAATGTTTATTTATTTATTATTAAGGAATCATAAGGGAATTAATGGTGATTTCTTGTTTAGGAAAATGTCACTATGTTGCCTTCATTAATGAAATGAGCAAACTAATATTTTTAAACATGTTTATATATAAATTTATCCTGAATTATCCTAAATAAACAGTCCACAAACTGTAGACATGAAAGATGTTTCCTATTAATCTAAATTTAAATGGTTCATTGTCTTTAATTTATGGATCTAAATTGAAGAGTCCCTCAGATATTTTGTCATTGATTACATAGAGACAGGCACACATCCCTATGTTAGATTTTCCTTTAGTTTTTAGGGTGAAATGGCAAGCCAACACATAGTTAAGTTGCCCTAATGGAAAATATTCGTTGTTTTCTAGAGTGGTAGTAGGGTAATTCTGTGTCCAATTCTTTTAAAAGTGGTACGGGTCACCTCTCGAATTTGACATACCTAAGAGCAATAAAAGCACAATACATTGATTATACATTGCTGAGACCCGCAATAATAAATAGGCAAAATATCCCAATTTTAAAACGCTGCCATACCAAAAGGAAAGGACACCCCAAACCAAATTTGGCCCAGAAGCACAATACACCGTTTACAAATGGGGTAAATTCAGAGGTCCCAAGTTGGCGAAGTGAAATTTTTAATTTGTCATTATTGAAGTGAAATTTCTGAGTTATTTTTTTAGTGTATTAACTACATGTATGACATGTTAATTTAACGTGTGTCATGCAGTTACCAAAACCCATTACAAATATTTAACAGAAACAGAAGTAGTCCGCTTTTTGTAAGTCCAAACAATTGGCAAAATAAGTCATTTTCAGGTTTTACTGAATTTAGGTGGTGATGCAAAGGCATGTAGTTGTTTAATTAGTTAACTGAATTATTTGGAAGAGAAAAATGTTGTTTAATTTTTGAAAATATACACTTAGGAGCCATTTTAATATTCACAATGAAAATTTATATTTTCTGGGAAAAACTGTAAAAATTCTGGGGAGCGGAGAAAGTCCTTAAAAATCTGGGACACCCGCAATTTTCTGGGAACTTGGGAGGTCTGTAAATTTTATGTCAGACATTATTAGTTTGTCAAGGTCAGGTAACCTAGCATTTTGGTAACCCGGAATTAAAAGGCCAAAATACACTCAATTTCAAAATTTCGAAGTGAATTTATACCATAATTTACTGCCACAAACTGGTTTCATTATACACACAATTGCCCACTACTCCTTCTTTTTAACATAACAAAAATAAGCTGTACTATGATGTCAATTTTTGATCCACAACTTACTACAAAAATTGTTTCTTTTCAATTTTTATTCCTGTCTTATTACTGTATCTTTTAATATAATTACTTTCATATTCTGAGTATATAGGCCTTTAACACAAATTTTAACATCTCCTGATATATTTTTTCTTTGTGTATGTAGGCACTCTCAACTTTCACCGTTGATTTTCTGTGTAAATAAATCATAACTGTTAGCAATAGCAATCACAAATTTCCATGTTTGTAATACATTATTAAGTACATGCTTCAATAAAATTTTGTTTATAATTAAAATTATATCGAGTAGTTTTACTGATAGGTATTGGCATATCAAGAAAAGACGATCCTCTGTTTATATTCTTTTAATTGCAATTTTCACTTATTTAAATAGAATCAAAATTTGCAGTCCTTCCACTTGTTGCATATACAGTAGATCTGGGTGGGACATTATATCTAATAGTGTGCATCTGTTTTAGAATATAATAATTAGTAGTAATAATAATACTAAATGAAAACAAGCCTCATGATACTAGATAAACCATTGCCTCTAAAGCCTTTTTCCATTTCCATAAGCTTATAGATTGGAATAAAAAAAAAAAATAATAAAATAATAAATAACTGGTTTTTCGCGGCGTTTCCTAACCTCGAGGTCAGGGTTTCAATCCCTTGCTGTGCATTTCGCTTGTGTCTTTTTGAGCAAGGCACTTCATCTACGTTGCTTCTCTCCACCCAGGAGTATAAATGGGTACCTGGTGGGGTTGTCTGCTCCTGTGCCAAGATGGCAGCAACACTTAAAGCATGCGGACCCAATCACCAGGGAAAAACTTACAGCGCTTGATTAGAATTAGACCAGATTAGATTAGAAACAAAAACTTGTTTACATATTAATTCTTGATCAAATATAATATTATAGTTAATATGATATAATAAACATAATATACATTTTACTTATTTATATATTTATTCATTTATGTTTTTATCACTCTATAGTTTTGATGAACACATTCACATTGTGAAGTTAAGCTAGTTCGATAAAGCTTGTTAAAAAGTTGTCTTATAATTTCTCTGAGTATTGAGTATTGTTATGTCAGCATGAGAATGCTTTAAGCAAAACAAAAAAAACCAATTATCTTAGATTGCGAGTGTTAGTTTGGTCTTTTTGTATCCATGTGCATGGAACCATCAGTTAAGTGAGTCTTGTCTATCTAGATTGTAGATGTCATACAATTATTTTGTCATTTTGACATAATTTACTTTCTTAGGAAATATCAGTAAGTGTAGTATCCAAATAAATTATTATTAAACTTATTATTATTAGTATTTTTATTATTATTGCCTTTAGTCTATACATTAAAGAACCTTTCACAGTTAATTATTGTTAAGCAATATTAATTGGCTAGCATTAATATTCTTAAGTAAGTATAGTATTAAATATATAAAATAACATGCGGATATCATCATTTTGATTGTTTTGGGCGAAAATGATTTTAAAATAGGGAATAAAAGCATTCTTCAATAATAATAATGATAATTTTTAGAGAGATATAACACACTACACACAAATAAGATAAATTTATAATACAATTACTCTGGGGCCTACCTCTTTATGTTCAATGTAGACTACATAACACTCAATATGCAAGCAAGATGTTTGCTGGGGAGGGGATGGGAATAAATTCAAACATTATTTTTTTAGAATAAAAGGTGACATACATTTTTATATTTTTATGTTTTACAGGAAGGGTTCATAAACTTGAGCGTGTTGAGGCTTTTTCGGGCAGCCCGATTAATCAAACTTTTACGGCAAGGCTCCTCCATCCGTATCCTACTTTGGACATTTGTGCAGTCTTTCAAGGTAAGCCCATATTTTTTTTTTCTGTTTTCCTCCTTTTTTGTGTTTTATTAGAATTTTTTTTAAATATAACTTCGGAATGAATTTTAGTGAGGGCAGTGATAATGAGGATGTTGTGTTTTTAGCTCTGATGAGGCGCTCTAGAAAAATACAACTGATTGATTAATAGATATTTTTTTAGATCTACTGCCTCTATTATACTGCCCTCATGAGGAGCTCTGGAAAAACTCGGCTGATTGGTTAATAGATCTTTTTTTAGATCTACTGCCTCTATTATACTGCCCTCATGAGGAGCTCTGGAATAGATCTTTTTTTAGATCTACTGCCTCTATTATACTGCCCTCATGAGGAGCTCTGGAAAAACTCGGCTGATTGATTAATAGTTGATTTTTTATTGATCTTTTTGACATCTGCTGCCTCTGTTATACTGCCCTCATTGGAGCTTTTGAGTGATTACTAGAATTTGTTAGTTAAAAATGATAATCCAATATTCTTTATTATGCCCTCTATACATTAATACATCACATTTATTGTTGTTACACAAGAAAACTACTCATTCATTCATATTTTTGAGTACACTAAATTTTTTTTTTCAATGATGTTTACTTTTTTTTTGTTTTTCATTTATAACATTTAATAATTAAATGAGAAAAGGAACTGTTATGATATACAGATTTTTGAATATTGAAAAAATGGGGAAAAATCAACCAACAAGTCTTTGAATAGAATTAAAGCTAGCAAATCTCAGCTGGTAGTAATACTGTAAACCAAGATTGTGTGATCACCCGGTTTACCATATTGTTTTGCAGATGAAACAAAATAATCCCTTTTCACACTGTCCTGTTTTGGAATTAGTAACAACTAGTTACAAGTTGTAATCAGGTTTGTGTAGTGTGAAAGCACATAAAACTTTCTGAAATATCAAAGGAAAACCCTGTGAAGTCGTTGAGGTCTGTTTTTTCGTCCGCGATTTCCCAAGTTATTCAGTGTGTATATGCGTTTGTACTGTTGCCAGGCAACGAAGAACTAAGTTATGCTTTAAGTGTATGGGGGAAAAAATGCGTCCAGGCCTACTGCTATTCCAAGATTTTGCATGGTTCGGATAATTAAGTGTGTGAAACAAATATAACATCCTGGAATTTACAACTTGTAAAGTATACAGTATTTATTTTGTATAAGCCTTTGTCAACACTGTCCAATTTTATGTGACAAAAAAAAATTGATATGTGACATGAGGTTTATTGTTTTTTTTTTTCTTGGTATAGGCATTGCCGTGGGTATGCCTCCTAATTGGAATGCTTTTCTTTATCTATGCAATTATTGGAATGCAGGTGAGTATTTTTTTATTTAAGAAAAACATATATTTAATAATTATAGTATAATAAAATTTATGTAATAAGGTTATTAATATATAAATTCTGTCTCTTATACACATCTAGATGTGTATAAGAGACAGGTCTTTCAAGGTAGCAATTAAATGAATCACACTGTGACCTAAGACTTGAAAAATAATGGAATCATAAAAAAATTTGTCTAAAAGTCTAGCGGACCCGAACATTGTTTAGGGACACCATGTGGACCATTTTTACGTGTCAGACTCCCAGTTATTCATCCAGTTTTTGGAACTACTGATCTAAAATGCCACATAGCTTAAAATATATTAGGAGGTTTCCGTGTGGCACTTATTCAAAAGAGGCACTTATTTGCCAGATATGCTTATTATATTAGAAATTATTGTAGTCTTAAAATAGTGCAATGTGTTGCACATAGGCTTATTTGACTTCTGGCAATGTTAAGCAATACAGTATAATATTTTTTATATATCTCATACATAGATTCTATTCATCTGATTGATTAAAAAGCGGGTGAGTAGAAAGTACCATTCCCCTGAAAAAGTACTAATACTAGTTAATAGGCCTCTAGCTAGGCTAGGCTAGGAAGTAGGTACTTTTTTAGGCGTCGTAGAATCTATGTATGAGGTATAAAAAACAAATGTTGACTGCTCTAGATTCGGGGGACGGGGAAATCTATTGCCTCTAGGTGATGTGGAGACTGTAGCCTATCTTCCCAAGGGCCAAAGGCCCTCGGGAAGATAAGCTACTATCTCCACATCACCTCTGGGCAATAGATTTCACCATTCCCCTCATGAGCAGTCAGTATTTGTATAATATTGTTTGGTATTTAAGAGAAGCGGGGCCTGTGCTTGAGTGAATGTTGGAGCAATGTTGGGTGGGTGCTTTACATGTACAACTTTCTTCTCAGATTTGGTGTGTCATCTCAAAAGAGCTGGAATTCTTCACATGCTAAGAATTTGTTAACTATATTTATGATTTTTGAATCTAGATATTTGGTGATATTAAATATACGGACGTTTCTTCAGAAAGTTCTATCAACAGTCACAACAATTTTCATAACTTTTTTATGTCGCTCCTGCTCCTGTTCAGGTAAAATTCTGCATCTGGCATATGCCAAAATAAATTGCTCTGCTAGATCAGGGAGCATGTATAGGTACAAAACAAATACGAAATGATATGCTCAAAGAAATTAATCACAAACAACTGTACCAATAGCCAATAAATAAATTCCAATTCTCTCTATAAGAAGGTTTTTGATTGGTTGATTTTTTAAAGCAATGTCTTTCATTACTTAATTGAATTTGTTCTGGAGAGCTATGATTACAATCTTACGAGCATTGATATTTTTATATTTGTCTTGTATTTAACCACATTCATTGTGTCATAATGTTATGAACATCTAGGCCATCAGTTTATTACTGATTCAAAACTCATACCATTCAAACAATAAGCATTTGTGTTTTTTCTTTTTTTTTTTGTTTCTTCTCTCCACACACGCATGCAATGCCGCCAGATGTTTGGAAACGTAAAACTAGATGATTCAACACAGATTAATAATCATAACAATTTTCAGCTGTTTGTATCTGCCCTTCTACTTCTGTTCAGGTAGACCTGCCAAAATAGCAGAAACATTGACAATTTTGTCTAGTCTCTTCCAGTTCTTTAACCCATTAGTTGTCCCTATCTATTTTTTACCTTGTGTATTATCCTTGATATAGAATCTATCATCCTTTTTGTCATGTGATATTAAGACAAGATTTGTTAAAATTGGGGATTGCAAATTTGAATAAAATAATTTTCAAACTATTTTCTTTTTACTTTGTAAATAGTTTCATCCTTCCATATTTTATTTGACTTCCTGATAAAAAACATTTACTATATTCTTTTATCAATTCTTCCTTTATTTCCTTCCATATTTCAAACTATTAATTCAACCTTTTGCTCATTCTTGTGGTACCCAGCCTTTAATGTACTTTTGGATTTTGGCAAGGTATATTTATTGCTAGCTATGCATCCCATAGGTAATTTCCAAACTGACCAGGTAATAAAGTGTCTTTGTTCTAATCTGAAAGTAAAATTTGAAACCAATGCATCGGCTAACTGCAGAGCTACTTACTACGCTGTGTGCCTATATGTATATCGTTTAATGGTTGTAAAATGTAACATACATGTCAAATATTTTAACATCTATACAACAGTTATTGTTGATTGTATTCCTCTAACTTTGGCTCCTTTAACATATATTAAACATTCTCCCTTTTTTCCCTGTAACTATTATAAACCTGTTTTCCTCTGTATCTTAATCATATTTTCGTTATCTGTCTGTAACTGCATACTTTAACAGACTTTGAGCCACTCTCCTCTTCTGGTTCAAATATCTTCAATAATTATATATAATATAATAGATATCTTGGCATGTGAGCTTCTACACTTAATCATAGACCTTTAATTACAATTTTTAATTACAAAGCTATTCATATAGATTATAGGCATTATAATAAAAGCAAGATAATATAATGTGAAGCACATAGAGTCCTTAGCATAATGGTCTATATAAGCCTGCCACATTTATTATTATTATTATTATTATTATTATTATTTTTATTAGTGGTATTATTAGTATTTTTATTAGTAATATATTATAATTATTGTTATTGTTGATATCATAATGGAAAATGCAGCCTAACCATTTTTAATCTCAGGAAGACTAAAGGCCATTATTGTTTGTTCGAAATTTAAATTTTAATGTATTATTCAATTGTTTATGTATCCCGGAACAAGTATTTAACAAGATTGCAATAATATGTTAATCCCTCTTGCCTACTATTTCCTTCTTTCTTACTTCGTTTTCCCTCCCAGTCCAGTATTGCTGTAAATTGTATATGAAAATATGTCTTTACATTTCCAGTTTGCATTTGAATAATAATTAATTGATCAAAAACATTTTTAAAATGAGTCATTCCATGTGTCATTCCAATGGGTTTGACCCGACTGACTCTGATTTTGATGAAAATTGGCATACATGTTGGTTTTGGCATCAAACGCCCAACTCGCCAATTTTAGCGAAATCAGATTGATGTTTTGGAAGTTACAGCCTGCCCAAATTTGGCAAAATTGGCCAAAACGGGTGTGGCCGCCAACCTTTGAACCTTAATATCTCAGCAGTGGGTTGACCGATAGTCATGAAGTTGGTATTTCTGAAAAGAGAATTAACTTAGGAATCTAAATCTGTCATTATTTTGAAAAAATTTAATTTATGTAAATTGTGGCCCCAGGGACTTGGACATTTGATGCCAAACCCAACATGTATACTAATTTTCATCGAAATCGGAGTCGGTTGGGTAAAAAATTGGTGATTTGACATAAAAAAACCCAAATGAAATAACAATATACCGTAAAACCTCGAATTGAAGCCCTGGGCTTCTTCTTTTCTTTGCGAACTCTGGATGGGCTTCTTTTCCAGACTACTTTTGCAAAGTAAAGAGGGGGTCTTCTTCTCAAAATGAATGTTGTAAATTTTGTGAATTTGTACTATAAAACAATAAATAAGGCCACTGTAACATCAATCTGTATGCATTGAATCACCTAACCTACCATATAAACCAAGCTCGTATTTAATTTATTTTGTTTTCTGAAATTGATGTACAGTGTATCTGACTGGAATATCCTGAAAAGAAGCTATGCTATCTTGAAAAGAAGCCCATGGGTTTCTTTTTGAGATAGGCTCCTTTTCGAGGCTAATTTTGCAAATTAAAAGGTTGACTTTAATTCGAGATGGCTTCATCTGGAGATTAAGCCCACTGGGCTTCAATTCAAGGTTTTACAGTATTATTCTTGTCATGAAAACAATCAGCCTCAGTTTAAAGGGATAGTAAGCTTGACAAATGGCACCTCACCTCTTTGCCTACTGCATGGTTAAAAAAATGGTTTGATGTAGATTCACAAACTGGTTTTTGGTGTAAATTCACAAACCAGTTTGATGTAGATTCACAAACCGGTTTGGTGTAGATTCACAAACCAGTTTGATGTAGATTCACAAACCGGTTTGGTGTAGATTCCCAAACCAGTTTGATGCAGATTCACAAACCGGTTTGGTGTAGATTCATAAACCAGTTTGGTGTTGATTCTCAAACCAGTTTGGTGTAGATTCATCGAATTCAACCATTTTTCAAAGCTTTTTTTATCCTTTCTTTTTACTTACAAATCTATTGCTTCATTTAAAAAATTTTTTTTTTATTTTGAATGTTTGCATCTCTGGATATTACCTTTCTTTTTTTATTTTTCCACATTTTTCTGTTTATTGGTTTAAAAACATTCTCAGTTAAAATGTCTAATTTGTATTATAAGTGAAATATTTGTGAATGTGCGTTTCAACTTAAAGTTAACCTTTCAAACTTACTAACCAATCCATTATGTTTTCATTCCTTTTTTTGGGAATTTTTAACTAAATAAAACGAAACTACCAAAGACAAATATGTTTAAATTGACAGAAGAACAGAAGAATAATTTGATTAAATTTGAAAACATTCATTTGTCTTTGGCTAGATCATCGGATGGGCTGTCCAAATATTCAGATTTATTCCAAATTCTTTGGAATCTGTTCTGTTGTGCTGTCTGATGAATATAGTTTACTTTTTCATAGTTTTGTCGAAGGTGTATTGAAATTGTTTAAAATCTGTATATTTCACATTATTTCCAAATACCAAAGTTAGCAAACAAATCATAAACTAAAACATTTTTTTTTAACCAACTGATTAAATTTATCTTGAAGAAATAGCTTTATAGTTTAACATTTTACTCAGGAATATATACAATTTAAAAAGACTTTCTCTAAGAACTCAGTTATTATTTGTAATTATTACCATAATTAAAACCTAAAAAGATATGACAATATATGGGATTACATTATGAAAAAAAATCAGGTTCTTAACATTTCAATACTTCTTTGAGTTTATTGTGGCCAATGTAAAATTTATAATTAATATACAGAATGTGATATTGTACCCTCTGTTGTCCTTTATAAATGAATATTTGTTCTTTAGTATATATAGCATAATTTGTATTTGATAAAAGCATGAATACATTTTAAGAAATGAAGTAAATATTAAAATTGTAACAAAAAATGTAAATTATCCCTTAAAATTACTATAAAATTTGTTTATCCGATATATTTTTTGTATTTATAATTTAGATACACAAGCTTGATATCTAATATATTCTAAATATTATAATGATACCATAGTTATTAATCATGTTACATATTTCTACAAATGTCAAATTACAACTTGTCTATACAATTGTCATATTCAAATTATTATGCAAATTTTTAATACTGTCATTTTTTACATATATTTCATAGACATATCATTATTTTATTTTTTTTATTTATTCAGAATGAGTTTATCTTAATTAGAATGAATATTACTGATATTTTTTGTTTGATCTTTCTTGTAATCTGACATTAGGTGCGCCACTGGAGAGAGTTGGCAACTGATTATGTTAGACTGTATATCGGGAAGGGATTGTGAGCCCAAGAAGGGGGAAGAGGATGAGGAAGTGGACGACTCATGTGGCTCCCCATTTGCGTACATATACTTTGTTAGCTTTATTTTCCTTTGTTCATTTTTGGTAGGTGAAATTCTTTTAAAAAAAACATTTACAAACAACATTTGTTGTGATCAGTGTGGCATTTCTATTGACAAATACTCTATAATATTGATTTATTATTGCCAAACATGCATTTAAAAATTAATTGTTAACATGTTCCAAAAACAAAATTGGAATTTTAATCTTTAAAATTTGATAGTTTCTCAAAAATGGACTTTGCCAGTTTGCCGAGTAATATTTAGGCTATATTCTCAAGTGCAAGTTCTCTTTATTGTTCTGTGAAAGTTTACATCAATGGTTGTACTACAGGTCATAACCCAAAATTGAGTCTCCAAATAATTTAAAGGTTTACATAGATACACCCTGCAAAGGATCTTAGGATCCAAAACTGCAGGGCAAAAAAAAAAGGGGCTGTATGGACCAATATACCAAGGTAACATCTACTCGTCTCGAAAGATGCACTGGTTCGTTTAAGTGCACATGAGCCAATTGTGTACACGCGCCCTCTGGTTTATAGTCCTTATACAAGGAGACTTGTTCTTCCACCAGAACCATAGTCGAGTGTGCTGCTCGATCCGGAGCCGATAATATGGCTTTAGGTTGTGATGCCCCTGCCCAAACCACTTGGCTATTTGACTCCAAGTTTGCAGGACATTATATCATGCTAAAATTTGGGAGCGCATTCTAAATATCATCTTAAACATTACTTCGATTTTGTTTACCAGTTAAGTGACCCATTTTGTGTAGCTGTTTTTGAACGTCTTTGGAATGGGTTACGCCAAATTGTGGTCGTCAGCCAAAAAACTTTTAGAACATAAAATTTGATGAGCCATTTGTATACAACTTGATTTTTATTATTTGTTAGATGTTGAATCTTTTTGTTGCTGTAATTATGGACAACTTTGATTATTTAACGAGAGATGCATCAATTCTTGGTGCACATCATCTGGATGAGTATGTTCGAATCTGGGGAGATTTTGAACCTGCAGCAACGTAAGTGTTACAAATTTATATGTCAGTGGTCAGAAAAATGAAATAAATGAAAGCTAAATATATATATAAAGCAGCCAATATGTAGACATTGGAGTGACTGTTAGTCCAACATAATGGCATGAATACTAAGAATCGATGTTTGCCCTACCTGTGTTACTGAATGCTCAGTACATTTGTAAATGCTTGTGAAAAACCTTGAGATAACTAGCCTTGTGTCTTAACCACTCGACCACTAGAGGTTGCACTTGGTGGCTAGTGATGAATCCAATCCTCAAGTAGCAGCGGGTACTGCAGGGCTTTTCCGATGGTGTTTTGTGTCAGCAGAAATAATACGAATCAATATTTTCCTACCTACCAGGCTAGATCTGGAGGTCGTCGGTTCGAGTCCCACCTAGTCGCTTCCAAAAATTTTTTTCGCAAACATTTGGGATCATACTGAGCATTCAGTACTATACAAAAAATGCCATCGGAATGGCAAAAATGGGGCGGGGGGAATAGATACACCACTATGGGGTCTGTCTCTTATACACATCTAGATGTGTATAAGAGACAGGCTACTAGCAGTTCATCACACGCGTATTAAGAAAAAATAACGGATCGGAACGAGTGTGAACAAACCTTTCGTTGTGGAACGTTAATTCTTTTCGTTAGCGCATTGGACACTGTCCGAATCTCGGTTCGGATCCGATGTGAATGCAGCTTAATTGTAGATTATTATTCATTTACTTATTTCCTTTAAGGTAAATACTTTTAATCTTTTTCATCTCAGTTGTTGATCGTGATCGTCACGATAGAGAATTACGAGAAGCTGTCAAAGTCTTCTGGCCGCGACTACCGGAGAAGAAGATTGACCTCCTGGTTCCTCCTGACTGTGGTATGTCTGCTTCACAGGTTCTCTATGTAGAAATTGCTCCATATAAATGATTTGCTAAATTTGAAATTAATGTGATTTTTGAGCTAATGAAGTTTACTAATATATGTCATCTAAAAATTATAACCTCAGCTGCCATTGCCATTGAAAGAGCTGTTCCTAGAAATCAAATTGTTATTCAAATTGAAATAAATAGACCTGTAGGCCTAATGTTTAGTATTAACTTATGTATATTTTAAAGATTTAACATGCACTTTAATATAAACATACACACATGTAGGTATACACATATACTGTAGTAATATTCTCTTTATATGATAATGAATTATATGTTACTTTGTTTAATGAGATTTTTCATTTTTTAGTGTCCCTAATTTTTCTTTTGTTCATTCTTCTATTCTTTTTCGTTGTTTTCCATTCTTATTTCATTTCTCTTTTGTGATGTTAGGTTATTTCCCAACCTACCCAAAGAAGGTGTACGGTATGAAGCACGCGATTGAAGTGTGTTTGTCATCAAATGACCTATAGATTTTTTAAAGTGTCATATATCTTTTCTCCTAACGTCGGTTTGACTATTTTCAATCTTATATACAGTAACATAAGGATAACAAAATAAAATGAAACTAAATCTTATCACCAGACCTCTAAGAATGTAATATTGTTTTTTGTTTTGTTAATTCCTTTGTTTGTGATAACAAAGAACATGTTGAAGAAGGAAGGTGTGATGAGTGTAAACGAAAGAAAGGTATTTACAAAAAAAGCAGTCCAAGGAGCAACAGACGCCATCGTATGCTACACAATAGCTTTTTGCATTGGTTTTAACTCACAGTGAAGCATGTCCAATGTCTGCCTTAATTTTCTCTCCAGCTACATTCCTATCTGCTGCCCTCCATTCTCTGCAGCCCTTAACAATATCAGATTATCAGGTGTATCCATTTTTTTGCACCATTTTTCAAAGTCATATAGGACAACAAAAATACTATTTATCTATCTCCTTCTATATTCTCCTTATACCCCAAATTTCTCCTGTAACCTACTTACTTATGACAGTAGAGATAGTAAAACTAATGTACTATAGCAAACTTAAGTAATTAATTTAATTATTAGTATTATTTATTTAGCCTCAATATTTCACCTGCATGAATAATAGACTCCACCACCTGGCTCCTTACACTGATTATGTTCAGCCCAGTCTTAGGCCATCATAATACCCTGATGTGTGATCAACCAGCCTAGCAATTGCAGACATATCTTTATACTTGAACAATATATCTCTGCTCGAGCCCTCCAGTTCACAATAAATTATATAATATTTATTTTCATTTTTCTGCCTACAGTATCTCCATCTTAACTTAACAGTTCATGCTTCTAAATTCAACCTTTAATCTTTTTTTGACATTATTTTACCTTATATTGACTGCTTCCTTTTTATAACCAATGAATCCTAGATTTGTTTTACAATACAAATGTTTTCGCATGTAATGAGTCAAGAGAGATGCTTCTGTTAACACCTCACTTATTTCAATTTGTGACCTGTTTTCTTATTTATATTGTACTCTAAATGGGTCACAAGTTGAGGTTGAACAAGTTGCTTATATATATTAACTGCTTAAAGAAGAATGCTTTGGCGATAATATATATTTTTTGAAAAAGTAATTTATGCCCTATAAACAGAAGCAAAATATAAATGTTTTGCTGTTTCATATTTATAAAATAATTGCTTTATAATATCACTTGACAATTGGACATTTTGATTTTCCAGCAGCATTGCAGTTGTTTGCCAGCTTTGAATATTTTCTCCTGCTTTACCCCAACCCCTTGTTGTTGCCATGACAAATTTTTGCTAATAAGGGTTTTTTCAACCTTTAACCTTTAAAGCCTGTGTGGATACCAAGGAGTGTATATCATATTAGACTTTTTAAAATAAATAAAATTCAAAATTAGGTGAGGTTATACTTTACATATAAAAAAGTATACATTAGTACCAGCTACCTATTCTTCATATAAAAAGTGAACTATGGGTAATTAGGAATATAGAATTGTGTGTAACTATTCTCAATGATTAAAACATATGCAATTTTTAATTTATGTAGAAATTCTAAAATTGGCTCCCTTTTCTAAATCACCCCAATGAAATTCCTACATCGGCCTAACTAAGTACTTTAATGATTCAAAATATTTTGATAGATGGGTGGATCAGGTGTCAGATTTTAATAAATCATTGATGGGTACACATTTTAAAATGACAAATGACTGAAAGGTGTAAATATGTATACAATGCACCATAGTTGTATGTTTTTATGTGTTTGATTCTATACCTGTTTTTATTACATTTGAAGTGGTGGTGCTTTTTCCATAGTATTTAGCACACATGTTGTTATATAGTATGCTGACATTCTATAATATGTTTCACCTTGTTCAGATCAGTGAAATTAGTACGGGACATTAGACACTATATACCACACAGTAGTAAAAAATAATACTAAAATAAACTACAATTTATTTGTAATCATGCCCAGTGTTTGCTTTTGTAGAAATCTAAATGAAGCTTCTCGATGTTCTACGTGGTTATATCAATCAATTGAATTAAATGTTTTATTTAAGTGTAAATAAAATTGTTTAATTTTACAAAATTTCTAATGGTTACCGTATTTCAATGCTGTTTGTGAACTGAAGTCAGAATTATGACCTTCCCTGCTGTGAAGTGTTAAAATAATTTGATAAACCATTGCTTGTATTGTGAGAAACCTATATAGATGTTGTTTGAGGTGTAATAATTATTTTTAAGAAAGGGAACGGATATTTTCTTTTAAATTCACTGAAGAAATGAATCTGGTTTCTGGATTTAACTTTTTTTTATTGTTTTGTGTGAGATAGAAACAGTTGTTTTCTTGTAGTTTATGTATAATAAAAACTAAAACAAAAGTAATTAAAAGATCTACCTTCTAACCATTGAGTAGAGATAGGTATAGCAAACACCGGCTAAGTGATAAGGAGGCAGTTTGATTTCAATTCAATCTTTATTACTGTTAAAATAATCAAATATACAGATACAGATTAATTTTTATTGTCCAATAATTTGGAAATTGCATTGCTCACTTGCTATATAATTAATTAATTAATTATCTTCTGGAATACTTTAAATTAAACTCCTTTATAAAAATGAATGAATAAAAAAAAATTCTATTAAAAAGATTTTTAATCCTAACTTCTATAGTACCTTAAAAGAGACATTCTTTTCTGTATTTTCTCATTATAGGTTTCAACAATAGTGAGTAAAGTGTTTCACTTTAGAAATATATTTCTTATTTTATACATAAAATTAATTTAGAAGGTGACAGTAGAGGATAAGGTACATCTAAAAAGTATTTAAGATTTAACATTTTTTTCATAGGACAAAGTTTTTAATATGGTTCATTCCTTTTACTTTAAAACATTTTTTTTTAAATTCATTATGGTTACTTTTATTATGCTTATAAAGGCTGTGCTAATAATATAATAGTAATAGTACAGTAATCAGAATTTATTTCATTTTTGTTGGTATATTTTAAAACTAATTTATTAAAAATTTGTGGGGTGATACTATTTAGCCATTGCATATTTGAGAAAAATGTGTTCGTGTTTAAACATGCAAGGGAATATTTGTATAATTTTTTCAATAAAATTATACATATATTATTTTGTTATAATTTCATTTATAAATATTTAATGTAAATGAATGATTTGAGCATTTTTATGATTATTTTCGAAGTTTTTTTTTAAAATAGATCCATCAACCTTATGTATTGCTTATGTATAATTACAGACTGAATACTATGAACAGATATATATTCATTTTTTATTTCATCAGTTTGGACAAACTATGTATTTTTTTCAAATTTGGCTAAAAACTAAAAGAAGAAGATTATAAAAAATAGAAACATAATAAATAAAATACAGTAATAATAATAGGTGAATTAATTATAAGGTTCAGTTTAAAATTTGTTTGTCTATCAATAATTTATTATTATGCTTAAATTCTAGATATTGGTTTTTGTTTTATTCTGTTGGTTCATTTTTTTGGATATAGAGAACAGCTTTGCCTTGTTGTCAGAACAGTAATTTCAGTTTTCATGGTTTAAGCTTTATTGCATATTTTTATATTTCCACTTACATTCTTGGGGTTTATTATTTATTATTTGAGAAATATGAAAATACTTGAAATATATAAAAGTCAAACTGTCCAATTTTCTTTCAAACATTTTTTTTTCTTCCTTTCCAATATTTTATGCTTTTGTTCTTTCTCTTTTATATTTTGTTTTTAATTCTATGTAACCTTTTTTTTAATTTCTGTATAAATCTATTGAACGTTTTATCATATATGGTAAGGTATATCATGGTAATGTTTGTTCTTTATTTTTGAATGTCAAAAAAAAAAAGAATCCCTTTCTTTAGCAATGAGTATTAAGAATAACACCATCAAACCCTACCTCATTCCTCAAAGCAGTTTGTAATTAAAAAAAAAAATCCAATTTATATTTTGCACTAACAAGAATAAAGCCATATATAGAGGATAGTAATATTATTGATATTCTCCTCTTTACCAGTGAGTAAAATAACAACAATCAAACCCTATCCCATTCTTCAAAGCAATTTGTAATTAAAAAAAAGTGTATATAAATTATATTTTGCACTAACAAGAATATAGCCATTTATAAAGGTAATACAACACCAGTTAAATGCATTCATTATATTGTGTGATTCATTGTAATTTTTGGAGTGATGTACTTTCACTAATTCGTATAATTGGTGCAGTTTACCAGAGTCCTTGTATGTCATTTATTTTGCAGAGCTGATTGGTGAAAAGTTAACAGTAGGCAAGATATACGCTGCATTGTTAATCTACGAAACATGGAAAGAGTACAAAACAAGAGCGAAAAGAGATGGAACTGCTAGATTGGTAAGGCGAAGCACCAACATTTGGGTTTAATGTTTTCATCTTATTAATTTATTTATTTATTAGTATATTTATTCCTTAGGTTATTATTAGCTTGGACTAATTAGGAGGATCTTGTTTGTTTAAATTTTTATTTGAATATCTTGTATATTTTATTAAGGATTCCATCTTCACAACCAATTTCATCAATATTTCTAAGATCACTATGAACACTGATATATTATCATATTATCACCATCATCACAATAATTACATAGCATTATTATCACCGGTGTTATCAATATTGTTATTACCAACACCTTCAAATCATCATCATCTTGATTTTTCAATCTAAATGAATCTAAAATTTCTTTATTCTCGACTTTCGTGTTGTTCCTGTGTGTGTGTATTTATGTTTGTTTCTAACTGAGTTTACATGTTTAATGTAGTTCTTCTTGTGTGTATAGAAATGTGTAAGTGTCTTTGCTACATCTTTCTATCGTCTGAGCCTTTCAACAGCGTGCTGGGAGACAATCTTGTGAATATTTATTTATTCTGCCATTGGATGGTATCTATGTTAGTACTTTGTGAATTGTTTCTAAAATTTATTGCATACTTTATACAGTATTTTTTTCCTGTACAGTTTCCAATGCATAGTGCATGTTTGATTGTTCACATATTAACTCATCTGTAGAGTTGATTATCAACATGAAAAGTGCTCTGAGGACCTGAGGTGAATTTCACCTAGTTTCTATTAATTTTTTACCATTCATTGATCTAATTATTTAATTATTAATTTAACATTTTGAGTAGTTTCTCTCAATAACTTATTGCAACATCTAACCACATAATATATAATTATAACAAGTTAAGTAATTAACCACTTATGTAATAACAAATAAAGTAATTCAGATTTAATTTAAAATCTCAGCATGCCATTTGAATTAGTAACTCATTACAATAAAATAATTAATATATTTAGTGTATTGCCATTGATATTGGGAGTTTTCTTTTTAGTGATTGTTCATTTAATAAAATATGATTAATTTTAGCATGTAAATTTTTATATAATAGTATTTATATACCATTTTTCAGTAATAGTAATTGTTATTGTTATGTTAAATTGTTTCTGTCAATTCTATTAATATGTTAACTCTAGTTGTTTTTGTTACTTTATTTATTATTTAGTTTTTATTTTATTGTGTGGAGGAGGCGTGGTTGAGGGAAAAAAGATACCAAAATTGTTCCCATGTTGAGTCCACTGGCAAGCAATAATAAAAGTCGGATTCCTTAAGGGTTCTTCTCCATGAAGATGCTAGCTTATGCTGTTTTTGATTTTCAGTTCCATGATACAGATTAACCAGTCAAATCACAGTCACCAATTATGTTACTAATAAAATACAGATTAACCGGTCAAATTGATTCATAAGTTACAGTGACCAATCATGTTACATACAGAATGATTGCAATTTAGAATGAATACATCAAATTAATTTTTGATACTTGAGATGTTGAAATTGTATATTTTCACTAAACTCCCATTTTTGGTGGATATTATAGTATTTTGGCTTTTTATTGTATCATGGAGCTGCTGCTATTTTTCATTATAGTATTTAGGATATAAATTTGAGATGCTTCTGGCCTCCATGTGAGCTTGCTGATAGATAGATCTGACAGCCATTTAAAATGTTTTTTTTTATGATCACGATCATGTTGTAAACTTGTTAAACTTGCTTTTTATGAAAGTTTTCATAATAATTTAATATCCAGTTTGATCCACGCACTTGATATCATATGCAACCAATTATATCAGCCATATTATATGTTATTGACAAACTTGAAATCACCAAATTTGCATAAACACTTTCATTTAATATGCTACTTGAATTCATGTGTGTTTGTTTTTGTTTCTTTCCTCCCTGCTTGCTGGATCCTGTTAATGGAACATTGCATGATTTAGTTGAAATCTGTCATTGTAATTATCGTAATGCTGAACCATTTTCTGTGGCTTGTTGTATTGTTAAAATTTCTGTATGCTTCCAAATCAACTTAAAAGAAGTCTATCTGGATATATTCTGAAGATTCCCTGGGCACATTTTTGAAACACTTGCTAATTTTTTTTGTGTCCCAATACCTTTTTAAAAATTTACCATATCTAACATCATATTCAGTTGTCACCGCAACAATCAGGAATTTTGGGCTAAAAATTATGTGAATAAATTTAAAACATTCGAAAATTTGTAGATGAAAACTATAGTAATGTTTGAAAACAGAATAATGTTGTGTAACTATGGTGTCTATTATTATGATATGCAACAAATATCAAATAAAATTAAAATGCACCTTGACTTAAATCTATTTGAAACAGAAACTAACAAAAATTAAACATGATTTATATTCAATTTAATTATATTAATACATTATTAAAACTAGTAAATGTGCTGTCTTGCTTTCTGTGTCTCCATCATACTTACTGTCAAATTCAGAATAATCAGTGACTTAGAAAATAGAAACTAGATTATTTTCATGTAATGAAATAATTTGATATTAGAAGATGATGTAACCAATTCTACTGTGTTTGTATAAACTGAAATACCTGTGCAATAGTTTGTGTGTTTAAGTTTGTATGAAATACATACTAATTTAAAACACAAAATAATAAGTCCAAAGACTTCCAGATTTTCTATGAAATTAATAAAATTCTTTTAAATGGTCAGCTGATGATTTTGATAGTAAGTTTTTAGCATGCACCCTCTATCATGATTTTGTATCTTAATAGGAGGAAGCTTATTTTCGGCATCTCATGAAGAAGCACCCTGATGCCGATCTCAGTCAGCCAAAATACAGAACCTTATTTTCAGGCGACTTTACAAAAGTATGACAAAAATTGGGCCAATATCCTCTGTCTTATCTCTCTCGCTCTGTGGTGTGTGCGTTAGCCAGTGTTGAGAGTGCTAGTCTGTTTTTGATGTAATCATACCAGATTTTTTGTTTCTTTGTTTCGTTCGGCTTTTCAATTGTTTGTAAAGTTGAAACTAAGGATACATTTTTCTCGAAACAGGTAGATTTGAGTCTCAAAACATTTGCAAAAATGAGTTATTAATTCAATTCAATTAAATCTGTACCAAGACATGTAGATTATTATACTTAATGATTACTATGTTCCAGTAGAATTAGAAATACACAATTGTATATATTAAGTTATTAATTTACTTACAATAGAAATGATGTACAGTTCTTTTTGTTTCCACAAAATGTCTTCCAATTGTTCACTATACTTTTCACAAATAGTGTTTTCTCATGGTTTGTGACTCATTTATCTGCTGATTTCACCAAAATTATTCAAATTACGGTCATTGATGTTGTGTGTTAATAATTCTTAATCTTCATTCAGACTACTTGAGATTCATCTTTCATGAAGACCTAATGACTTGTTATGATGTATTCATTCTTCTGTCTTTCTCTCTCTTTTTTAGCCTCATCTGTATATATAAACCTTAAACTCTTCTTCTCAAAAATTGAAGAAACTAAGAGTTTTGTTATGTGACATGTAAATTTGCCTAGTAGTAATTTGTTTATCCAGTGATCATATTTTAAATGATGGCAAATGTCATTGAATGGTTAAAATTTTGGCAATTTTTATTATAAACTCAATGAAACAAACTTAGATGTGTATTTTTTGATAGTTTGTCATTTTTTGATGTGTACTTTCTTTTCAGCTAATTGGCGATCTCGTATTTAATTCCTTGATTGATATCCTTACATCCTTCATTGTCTTCATTTCATATCTAAGAATGTCCTACTACAATGTCCTGTGTGAAATACAACTTAATTTTTAATGTAGTTTATTTTTCATACAAAAATAATTTCGCATTACTTTTTTCTTTTCATTCATTTGCACATTTCCCAATCTGAAAGTAAATGTTTTTGAACATGCATTTGTTTCGAAGCTATTATTATTGTTACTTCTATTTTTTAAATAAGGTTTTTGTTTATATTTGTGCAAAGTCTGTAAGAGACCATGTTTTATAAAATCATGTGTCCTGTATTCCTTTTTGTCTGTACTACTTTTTTTATCCAGAAACCCTTTGTAGAACATAATAATTAACATTCCATTCTGTTTGGATATAATATACCTTACAACTTGCTGTATATTTGTATACATATTGCTTGCCATATATTGAGTCACCAGAAATGCTTGTGAATAATCTTTAAAAAACTTTTACATACAAAAAGCATTTTGTATTTAAATAGATTCTACAATATGACTTGTGATATTATTTGTAACTGCATTGCAACAGAACTTATATTATAAATGTTTTTGTGTGGTATTCTACTATCAGTATTTGTTAGTGTTTTTGCCTTATTTGGGCCTTAGATTTTATGATGGTTATCTTAGGCGTGGCGTACACTGTGTAGTGTCCTCTTTGTAAAAGTCATTCTCACGTGCGCCTTTGTTTCAACTCGTCTTCTGTTTTCTTCTTTGTCTCTCTGGTCTTCAGGCTCTTTCAGTTAAAGATTAGATAAATTTACATTGTTACTTATATTGTAAAAGCAAATATAGAAAATATAATTATTTCATAAAGTAAGTTTTATATTTACATATTGAGTAACTTAAATTTTAATATGTTTATACAATATTTATTGGTAATTTTTTTCAACTCTTTTGACTTATGAATTCAAATATTTATAATCCTGCTTGAATGCCGAATCTTGTGGATAGGCATGATATCATTTTTATTACTCTGGAAATTTATGTATGTAGCCCACACTTTTGGGATGTTGTACGCACATTTCAAGATCGCTCCAGTGTTATATTGTCTTGTGACTGTTGGAGCAGCATTTTTCTGTCATGCGCCCTCTATCATGTACATACAGCAGTTTGAGTAGTCATGGATTTTCCCTACTGCATACATCTGCTTGCTGTTTTTTTCTTTCTTCTTAGACTCTGCTGTACAGTAGTAGTGATTCTTTCACTGAAACAATATCAGTAGTGTTTATAGGTGAATTTTGAAAATATTAGGTTATTGCATCTTTTCCATGTGTATCCAAATCCCTGGTAATGCATAGATCTGCATCCTATTATATTCTGGCTTTTAAGCCATGAATGCCAGTTATACTTATATACTGTTTCCCTTCAGTTGTTTGGTTCTGTATCAGTGAATTTTAATTGCGAGCCATGTTATATTGATCGAAGATCATACCTAGCATGCGTTGTAGGATATTGGAATGCATAAATTACATTGAGCCTAATTAGCAGGTGATTTATAATGTGCACCTGTGATATATATAGCTAGTAATAGGTGTCTGTACTTTTTTTTTTCAACTTGTGAATGTACTTTTATAGAGAGCGGTATTTGCCTGCACAATAGCCTGCTATACGTAAAATTTACCAGATATGATCGTTAATGATATTCCTTTCTCAAACAGCTGCGTGATCAAAAAAGAAAGGAATACCTGGCGAAGGTGGAGCGTCGTAAGGCCCTGGAGCTTGAACAGCGGTCTCGCTTACAAGTGCCCGCAAATAATAATGTCTTAACTCTAACTGATCAACCGCAAAATGGGGCGATTCAGGTATTTTTTTGTTCACTGAGGGTCGATTTCTTATACAAATTTTTTTCCAAATGTTTATGGCTGAAAGAAACACACATGCACCAATTCTGTATGCTTATCTTTTCAGTTGAAAGAAAGGTAAAAATCTTGAGCACTGCTCTCCTTCTGGCCTCTGTTATCAATAAAGCAGCATTGTGTGTTTTACACTGGTTCAGTCATATTCTCTGCTATTTAATGAGCAGCACTATCAATAGATATGTTAAGTATTGCCACAAGCCAACTTGAATAAATTAAATTTTCTTTTCAATTCAAAAGGAAAGCATACAGAATATATATGTGGTTATTATTGCTTTAAGTGATTGCCAACCTGTACTGTCACTATAAGTGGTTCATCAAGGATGGTTGGCCTCAGCTTTTTTTAACATATTTTGCATGTTAATTATCTTTGCATTTTTTACAAAATCTCACAAAAACAATTTGCATATTTCAGGTGTTTGCACTGCCTAATCTAATGGACTAGGGTTGCACTTCACAGATGCTTCATTTCTTGCATATAATTAACCTTTGATCTTTTATATCTATTACATGTACTCCATATATTTCAAGGGGCATCAGCTTTTTATATCTTGTATCACTTTTTCCTTTTTCATCTAATAAAGATATATCTATGGCTTATCATTTGGTTTCTGTACACTTATAAAACTAATCAGAAATATTTTCTATATTATTTTCAAATAATTATATTTGAAGATCGATTTTAAGGATCCTAACACCTCCTCTTCACTTGGTGTGAGAAATGTTACAAAATGTAATAAATTGAAATTGGGAGTAAACAAACCGGTCATTTTCAACCACTCTGGTGACATTGCAGAGAAAATAGTTTTATTTATAAGTAACTTGAAAATACTTTTAACAACATCACTCTCATTACATATGATCTGGACAGCAGTGGTCAATGAGAGAAAATTAAATTAATTATAAATAATAAATTATAGGACTTTTGGTATACCATGTGTAAAAATAGAATTTTTTTTTTTTTTAATCTTCAAGAAATATATTTACAAGGACTACTAACCAAAAGAAAAGAAATTTCATATAAGGAACCAGTTCTTACCTTTACACACATACATGCTTCAAACTTGAAGTACCGGTATGCAGTAAAACCAGCTAACAATACACCCCAGTGTGTGTGTGTGTCAAAATTAAAGCTAATTTAGAAAATATGAACTTCTAAGTATTTCTATTTTGTAAGTTCAAGTAAATTGATTGTACTTGTAAATCACTCAAATTTCTTCTACTAATGTATTTCAAATACATTGTGTTTAACAAGTACAGTAATCTATAAGAATCAGTATTGAACTTCAGTCAAATTTGAAAGCCCATTGTAACTCCTTACTAGATTGTTAGTGTAGTACGTCTTGGTAAACTATTTGGTAACCTTATTCATGTAGTCAGTAGCCAATTGATATATCATCGGTAACTTGTGGATAAACTAATGGTAACCCAATTAATTCAGTCAATCAATTGTTCCATTTACATGGCACCATTTCAAATGTCATTGCTTGTGGTGCCTTTCAAAGAAGAGATTATTAAATTGTCGACCATTGGTTTCCAATTGGCAGATCGTTGGTGGAACTAGTAGGCCATTAGTATTCATTGACAGACCATTGTAAACCATCGGTCTGTAAGTAGACGACCATCTATTTGCAGTTGGTAGAACATTTGTGGTTCATTTACTAATGTCTTAATTAATGTTAACGTTTTTTAAGTCATTTTTTTCCTTATTTCAATGGTACGATTACACAGACAGCTTTGGTGGAGGCCGTAGTACAACCAATATTTTTTAATTCTTTGGCTTTTCTTATACTCCTAGGGGCTAATCATGCTTTCATTTCTTTTCATGATTATTGTTAACAAGGACCTAGGCCTACCCTGGTGGGAATGTAGCTGCTTTTTGATTTTAATACTAATGATATCAGTGCAAGGATTGATTCAACAATCTCATAAATTTCTTTCTTTTGGATCAGTTTATAATAACCTTTTACTTCTTGCTTAACATGTTGATTGATGCCTCAAACTTATCTATATATTGCAAGCAATTACCATAAAATATTTTTTTTTAATATTACAAAATAATCAGGATTTCAAAATTTTTGTGTCATGATGAATATTTTTAAATTAAAGCGAAAAAAATTATTATTTTTTAAATGTTGATAGTAAAGTTAATGATTGTAACAAAGAATGTAATATTTTTAACTTAAAGCTACATTATTTTCAGTAATCAACATTCTTAACATTTAAATCTGTTTAATTTCAGGATTCGTTGGCGTGAGTGTAGTAGATTACCCAGCATGCAAGCTCTATGATGGATATTGACAAGATACTTAGATTTTATATTATGTTATATATATCATTTTTAGAAAAGTAATTTTAAAACTGCTTACAGATACAAGGAAATCTTGTAATTTATATGAATGCCATTCTTCAGCTGGTTGGAATTAGGCAAGTAAAAACCTTTGAGCATAGATCTACTGCTGTGTGTTTTCATTGGTTTCTGCAATTTGTATTGCTTTTTTTGTCAGAGAAGAGTTATGTTTAAAAATATGACTATAAAATATTACCTAAAAAATATTTTCAAGTTTATGTTAATAAGTTGATAGTGTTTATGTTACACAAATTGGACTATATTTTCATGGTGAAGAAGAAGGTCATTTCGCCGTAAAGTGGTTTGTAAGATACGGGTATCGATGATTTTGATTGAGCAAATGCAGAATTCTGAGGCAATGACGCCCATTATTTAGATTATGAGGCTGTGGTTTCTCGCAGGATCCATTCTACTAATGATACATTGTGCAATTTTAGTAATGTTAACATTCCATCCTCTATCCACTACATTGGGTTTTATTATTTTTAATGATTTCATGAGCTTAGTACTTGTTTCTTCCACTCAATTTTTATTCAGTAATCTGGATTAGCTATTAGAGCTACATTTTAATTAGTTTTTTACCTACACTGGATGTAGATATTTTTAAAAATCATTATGCATTTTTTACACTTACTGTACCTTGTGTAAATATATATTACTATATATTTATTTTAATTATCCAAATTATGTTTTTTCGATCGTTATGTTTAAAATGTATTTACTACCACTCTATGTATGGTATAAAAGTATATATATATATATATATATATATATATATATA